GGGAAGGGGGGAGGGGGCTTAAACAAGGATCAGTGCTTCTGTCTTACCAGATGATTTGTCTGAAAGGAAAGCAGAAGCAGGGAGAATCAGAGGCACCTGGACCACGGAGGGAGCTAGACCAAATGACAAGATATTAGGCTTACTATTTGGGTATTTTATCTGAAAATACTAGTCCAGTCAAATTATAGACACTTCTGTTGAGACTTAGCGATTTTCAAACAACTTTAAATAGAGAGTGAAAGTATAAGGATTTGTGTGTAACTTTTCAAAAGAAGTTGCATTCTGTGTGGGGGTTATAGGTTACAAATGCCTCAGTCAAAGCCAAAAAGAGAGAGCAATGACGATTCAAACATTCACACAAAAGGCAAAGTGTTTTCATATTTCTAGAGTAAATTATTTTGTGATGAGAAAGGGGGCAAAAATTCTGCATCATCTCAAATATGTAAAGAGAAGGTGATGGGCATAGATTAAACCTGATTATTTCTCTTTTCAGGAAACAAGTACCTTATCTAACTGCCTTTATTCAAAGGCTTAATCTCTATTAATAATTTAGGCAACCAAACATCATTAATGGTTGTGAGGGAAATATGACTCTAACTCGGCTATGCTTATCAAGAACCAGACGACCTTCTAGAGATTTCTGTAAAACAGATCGCGATGACATTATCACCAATGGAGAAAGGTTTTCTTGAGCCAGTTTAAGATACTTAATTATTAAGCAGACACAAATAATAGTAGTAGTAAAAAGGTTGATAAGTGGGCATTTTTGCAATTGGGTTTCTAAATTAAGAGTAACAAAAAAATAGGGACGCCTGCGTGACTCAGCCTGTTAAGCATCTGACTTCGGCTCAGGTCATGGTCGTGGTTCTTGAGTTTGAGCCCCTCATCAGGCTCAGTGCTGACAGCTCGGAGCCTGGAGCCTGCTTCAGATTCTGTGTCTCCCTCTCTCTCTGCCCCTCCCCCACTCATGCTCTGTCTCTCTCAAAGATAAATATTTTTTAAAAAATAACAAAAACATAGTTTGTTAATTCCTAATATCCTCTGATGAAAGTTATTAGCTGATTTTTTTGGTCTTTTAAAAATTGACACTTCTTGTCTGATTTATAAAACTTATAAGTTAGAACTATAAATTACTCTGTAAAAATATAATTTACAAAGTTAAAAATGTTTGCAAGTAGAAAAAAAATCAAGCTTGGTAAGTAGTGATAGTTTTTAAACTTTATTACTCTTTGAGTTCACTTATTTAGAGTTCCCTGATAGATTGTTAGAGTTGGAAATAGTGAGTTCATTGCTTGACTGAATAAATAATTCATATGGCACAAAAGCGGCTTTTTCTTCCTCCCCAGTCCCTTTCTCCTCCATTATATTCACTTTCTCTCTTTTAAAAGGATCCTTTACAGCCAAAGAGTAACTTTGTGTGAATGTGCAAGGGCTTGGGCATTGCTGCAACCTTAATGTTCACTGAATATCTGAGGTCAACCTAAGAAAACGAAGAAATCTGTTTTAAATGTGTATTCTCCAGTAGCAACTGAAAAGATATGTAGTAGTTATAAATCATTAGACCTTACCCTTATGGTAAAGTTGCCTTGGGAGTTCCTTTTAGCAAAATACATTTTTCCTTTTGGATATAGTATTTTCCATAGTGTCTGCCTCAAAATAAAATTGAGTTTTAAAATTGAGTAAATCATTGAATTTCTTCTAGTTTTTCAGAAATCTTTTTAAGTAGATGAAATGACAGAGTTAGTTTGGTAAAACATGAGAGTTGTTTTTATTCTTTATGTGATGTTTTAGAATTCTTTATTTTGTAAGAATTATAAGATTACATTAAATATGTGAAATTCCATTTTTCTACCTTTTATTATAGCAGCAAAGTAGGAATTATGCCAGGTTATTTTCTCTCTGCTGTTTAAATCATAAGAGACTCTGTTTTATTGGATCAAAGCAATTGTCTATCTAAGTAATCTCCTTGTCAATGACACCACTGGAGATGATGGTTATCTTTCATAAATCAACTATATTCTTACTTTTTTGTAATAAATT